GATCGACGATGCAGATCATGCGTTCAGCACCTTCTTAGTGTCCTCCAGAACAGCTTCATCCAGAAGCGACGACGAGTTAATCTCCTCGTTCCGACATATGCTGACCGCCTCGGCTAAATTGCCTGCCTGAAGACACCACCAAACTCCTCGAAGTACATCTCATCCAGTTCAAGAAGAGCATTCACCGAGGGAATAGCCTCGAGGGTGACGTCGCTGTTGTTCTATTCTGTCATACCACTGACATGGGTATATAGCTGTGCGCTATCGTATACGGTAGACACATCCTGGGTCAAGGTCTACGCCCTGCGTCTTGCAGAAATCATACAGCTTTGCCGTCTCCTCTCTATAGGGCTTTTACGTTTCATCGAGACCAGTGGGAATACGCACTGGGCGTCGCCCAGTGCCTCCACTTCCTGCTCAATCGGAGCCGTGATGTTATTGACACGGCCAGAATCAATTAGCCAAACCTTGCTGTATCCATGCCCATTTTAGAACCCGTCAGGACATGTTTTGTGTATGATCCACTGTGGCGCATGTCAAATCGATCGGCTTCGACACAGCTCCACCTTTTGTTTCATGTTTCAAAGGTACCCCACCTCTCAGACATCCGACGAAGAACTGCTATTTTCGCAGTCTTCGTCCAGTGAATATCGTGCTACTCCACGCAAATCACTGGGGCCTCGCTCTCGATCTCTCGGACCTCGTCTGACCATCCCAGCCTTGGCATGCATCAACTGCTTCGTAACGTGAGCAGTGCTCCGTGGGTTACGCGCCACTCCACGTTCAGCCCGCGAGCTACGCTTGGGACTCTTGTCCATTACACCATCGGTGTTTGACAACTCGGGTATTCCAATGTCCAGCAAATTGACCGTCCCGGTCCCCTGCCCGCGCCAATGGCACTTCTGCTTCCTAGCAGAGGTGAGTTCATGACTCTCCAAAGCTATCGTTTCATGGCTCATGGTGTTCCTACCATGCCATACCAAGAATGAGGTCACACCTTGCATCTAAGTTTAAGATTAAGAGCGTCCTACGCTGTCAAAGTCAAGAAACCTGAGACCGAGACCCACAGGGACCCTTGGCACAGTGATACATGTTCTTGTCGCTAAGCGAATAGTGACGGTGTCACTTAACTTCGATTCTAGCGCCTCAGCGTACAGCTGACTTCCTTTGATCGTGGAGCGTCGACCATAATTGTCAAACGCCCCGAAATCAGTAAAAAATATTACATGGCTTTTCAAAGCCCTTCACGGTCGCTTTTCCTTATATAACAGGATGTCCTGTAAATGTCAGACACACACAGCATGTGTAATATAACCGATCCCACTACACTTTAGAAGTAAAACAATGCTAAACTGCGGTTCGGGTTGGACCGGGTTGGGTTGTGTACATTATTCGAAACCTATAAAGCTTAATTTATGATAGTATTTTATCACTATCGTGTGTTCTCAGCTAACGGATTTTCGTGATTTTCGCTCATTCGCGAACGGATCTCTTAAAAAACAAGATACATCGCTATTATGACTTCATATGATCTGATCAAAGTCAAGGAGGAATAGTTCTGGACGATAGCCACAGCAGAAACTCACAAAATTCGTTTCAGTCATCGATTTGTGGCACCCAGAGTAAGTGGCAGGACTGACGAAACGGCACAACACCATTCCGATGTGACTAGAGCAAGAAGTTGGTTTTTAGAGTAAAGAATGTGGCAGGCGCATGCTTATTTGATCGTGACCGATTTTACATTGCTCGGATTGCTGTAGAAAATGCCGCAGCTCGTGATGGTGAACACGAGCAGACATTACGGTGGCCAAACCTCATCAGCTGCGTTGCTTTGATCGTAATCGCAAATCCGTATCCAGCACCATGGAAGATATTCTTAAACGGTGAAGTCATAAACAAGCGCCTCAAGAAAAAACGTGACAAATATGTAGTTCTCGGACATGAGTGCTGCCATTTTGCATCTCTCCACGAAGATGACGCCTCGCAATAGAATTTCGCTGCGTAACAGCACTAGTTTGAATTTGATGGCTCAGCGCAGTCTCCCAATGTTGGCATTGTCCGACCCATTAGATACATGCAATTTCTATAAGAGCAGCGGCTATGTGTAGGTCTCAACCAGATAGTGTCGTTGGATGGAAGCGCAGTGTACGTCGAAGACGCACGCAACCAGACAGTTGGCGATGTTAACAATCGCCACGTGATCGCGTGCCCGATCAAATTTGTATCCATGCACACCGCTGTCATTCTCGCAGCTGACAAGAAACTGCTGCCAAATTTGATCTGTTAAAGAGCTGATACGGCCATGAGCTGATACGGCCATTTCTTAATAACTTTGTGGGATGTACGTCACGTACCGGAGGAAGGCATAAATAGACGGTCCGCTGCTCAAGACATATCTCGAAGGAAGTCAAGACAAAGTGGCAGACGTGCGGCATCAATATTTTTGAAATTTCTGGTGAGCTCACTTTGTATATTCAGGCTGGTGATATCACCATTTATCGATATCTCAAGTAAATTTTGTACACTAAAATCAATGTGGGAAAGAGGTGACATAGACCAAATATGGCAATCCCAGGCCGCTAGTGATGTCGGTGGGTTCGTGATTCCGTAAAGCAGGGACACAGACCGACGAAGAAGTTGTCATTAGTTCCGCCATTGGTGCGGGTTTTGCAAACACCTATAAAGACTGGTTTGTTGCGCCACATGACTTGTGTGGTACGTTGTTTCGAGATTGCCACAAGACGGATTGTGACAGCAGTATGGATGCGGATGTGTACAGACTTGACGTTATGGACAAGGCTTTTGATAAAATTGGAGCTGTGATTGATGAAGAGAAAGCGGTCATTAAAAGCATAGAAAGACTTAATCCAGCGCAATTTTATTTCACCCCTCAGCATATCCGCGAGAATGAATTTCAACGCACAGCGCCTACAATCCGTCATGGAATCAAATACGCGGTAGCGAATCCGTGTCAGAGGTGGCGTCTCTAAAGTTGCTATGATTTTTTGAATTTTGATTGAGTTTGCGACGATTTTTTTAATGAAAAATCCGAATTTTTGTGCGTGAGTACGGAACTAATCTGCGGAAAGATCCGTTTTTACATAGCTTTTTGAAGAAATCCGGCTTGAATGATATAGAATATAGGACTCCGATTGTTAGGTACAATCGAAAAGTCATCACTTTTATATTCATACAACCTTTCAACTGTCATTCAGGGGCAGTTTTTAATCCACTTCATTATCGACTGCGTATCTCACTGTGTCATCATTGTGCCGCCTGTACCTCCTCAGCCAGATTTTCTGCTACATGATTATAATCGGTACCTGTCAGTATAAACATCAAGGTTCGAATAGGATACTGACTGAATTACTGCGTATCTCGTTCTGGAAAAAAGAGAAGTGGCAAAGAAAACCACGTTAAAATGAGTCAGGACAAAATTATTACATTCACACAGCACTATAGTCCATGAGCAAAGTGGTGAATAAAGCTCATCCTGATAGCACATCCTATTAGCACGGTAAATTACGTATCACTGACTATTTCATATGATACAAACGAGCTTTTGCCCAAGCAAATTTCTAAGCAAAGTCAATTATAAAATAAGACAGTCTGCACAGAAGTACGAAAAAGGATGAAGCAGCAAATGCACGACTGTGAGCTCGTACCGTAAAAACGTCTGCACATCTTCGAAACGAGAAATTTTATCAATTCAAAGCAAGCAGATAAATTTGTTTCGAGTCTAAACTAGAGCCTTTATTACGATTTCTTGTCGATCACTCGACACGATCTCCGTGTTCAGCGTCAATATCTACATATTGTTTTTCTGCTGAAAACCAATCGGAAAACAAAAACAAATTTCTTATTAACTCAAGATTATCGACTTCAGACAAAAGCAGCAACCACTACTGAAGAAATGTTCTTCAACTTGGCACCTTTCAACTCTAAGTTCGACATCGCCTGTTCAAACAGCAACTCCAACATCAAGTGATACCTTTTGAAGAAACAACTCAGCAATCATTTCAGTTCGTAACCTGGTAGCACAGCCGCCATTTGCTGTTTTGACAACTTTCCCTCCAGAAAAGCATAGACGGCATTATAGCTATAAGGATATGAATGCTCATGATTACGCAGCAATTCGACATATCGCAGCCACAGATAGACGAGATTTAGATCATGGACATCTACGGGAAATAAAATGTGCCATACAAGCCCCGGTAATTCCTTATTGAGCAGCCACGCACGCAACACCAATTCCGTTGTATCCGACCTTAAAAGCAAGAATACTTCCATCTCTCTGACTAATTCTTCCGCTTCTGAGTCGCGGGCTTTGCGAGCCAATTCAAATAGATTCACCACTTGTTCAAGCCAATACTCTCGAGTTGTATCGGGCTTCGAAGTTGCCAGGGCCGTTTTTTCTAAAATCGGCTGCGACTGATAAGTTTTCACCAAGAAATTGAAAAGGTCTTCGTCATCGAATTTTGTAAGACTAGTGGCTGTGTCATGGGTGGCCATGTCTGCCTCTTCTGCGAGAAATTCTTCTATACGCAAGACCCTTTAGTGAATAATAAACTCGAACCAGCCAATAATCTTCGGATCGATGCTTTGCACGCCACACGGAAAATGCGGGAGATAAATTTTGATCAAATGAAATAATTGCGGAGGAGAAACACCGAGCTTTAAGCAATGCGAAATGTACTTTTCTCGGACGACATGGTCGTGCCACGCAATTTCTCTTCCATCACGCAAATCTGCCCAAACTTCTTCATCATGCTCGGTCATCGCTTCAGACAACTCACTTTCAACTTTATTTGTACCCGATTTAAAAATGTTCGTGACACTGTCCAGTGACGACTCTGGGAGTATATCTTTAAGCGGAATCTTCGCTTCAAGAGAAAAGCTCGTGTCAGTAAGATCACTGCTTATTTGGTGGCTGAAAGACGCCGATGGCTGTATCCTCGCTTCGGTGTTGCTGTCAATGTGAGAATAGCTTTTGTCAAGAATAGGCCTGCTATGCGGTACGGTGGCGGTCGGGATGGATCTATTGCGTATATCCGGCGTTTCGTTTTGATTTACACTCGAGTCGTACGCGAAACAAACACATACACTAACAAACCATATCATCACAGTGTGTTTTGAGACAAGCGGCTTCATGATTGCGCACATGGATCTTTAATTGTCGAGTCTTTCACGAAAATTAGAAACTGAGGCAGGCTTCTGGATAGACAACAGCCGGTTAATATTTGTCTAGATGACATAGATGACGCCACGATCATCTTTGATCTGATACCAAGCAATACAAATTTGTGATACCGAAATGTTTGCTTTTCATAGGTTCAATAAAAGGCTCAAGTTGCAGTATACGAGATGCAAGGGAAAATCTTGATTCGTGAATAGAAGGAATGTCCAAATCAAAATTTGTGTCAAGGTTCATCTTTTTAGCTTAATGTTTAGGGCATTCGTCATCCAAGCCCCCTTTTCATGCCCCCCCCTGCAATGACGTGGACAAAGACAAAGTTGTTCAGCCGACTTCGAGTAAGGTATGCCTCTTAGTCTTGTCCATAGTAAGAACCTTCTTTCGTTTCCACGGAGGCTAAATAAAGTTTTTAAGTTACTGAAAAATTGGTCACCCAAGCTACTGTTTTTTTCTTTTCAATATACAATTAATAAATGAGAGAATAAAAAAATGCCCCAGCTTTTGCCATATATATAAAAAAATATCCCAACTTTTCAAAAAATAAAAAAATACCCCAGCACGTAAATTATCACCGGGCAGCCGTAATATTACACAACAGAAGATGCATTGTATTAGGAATGAATGAGCATAATTTAACAAAATACCCCACAATAACAAAGTATA